CTTCGGCCTCGGCGACCAACTCCGCGCGGCCTCGACGGGCCCCGCCGACGCCCACCTCGCCCGGGGGGACTCCCCGGCGCTGCCGGAAAGCGCGGATCTCTTTTTCGTCGATTCCGCCCCGGCGGCGGAAGGGGGAACGGACTACGGCGGGGATCATTGGCCGCAAAATGACCTTCCGCGGACTTCCCGCGCGGCCCCCGCACCTCGCCCGGCCGGGGCCGCCATCGCGACTTTCCACCACCCCGAGGCGAACGCGGAGGAGGAGGTGACGATTACGATATTCGCCTCGGGGAAAATGCACTACTCGGGGGTCTCCACGGAGGGGATGCGGAGCGTTATACGGCTGGTCCTCATTCCTTTCTTGCTTTTTAACGCACATTTTTAGATTCAAAAGGAACTCTCTGGAAAGAGGGAGGGGGGAGAAAATAGTCATCTTTAATATTACTACTATTATTCCTACCTTCCTTTTTTTATTGGAGCGCGGGAGCGGTTTGCATTAGGTATATCACAGACATCTCTTGCTTAGCATTACCGTCCTATTAGTGAAAAATCATACCCCAGTGTAAGCGTTAAAAGAGAGCGCCTTTTGTAGTTTAGAATGAAGAAAGGTGTGAGTTTTTTAGGTAGAATTACACTCGCCTCGAGGATGACTCCATAAGTAGTTAAATACAACTTTTATTAAATCTCAAATATGGGTTGCTTTTTTATCGGTTTACCTGAGTAGGGCATTTTTTCAGCGAGTCTTCTTTTTGTTTAGCTGAGGAAAGCTGCATTTCTGAATAAAGTACCGAACACGATATATGTCATTGGACGTAGTATCACCGCTTCTAAAATCTTTTGGGTGCTTTTATAGAAATATAAAAGATAATTAACATTACAATTTAGGCTTCTATTCATAATAATAGGAGGGTGGATGAGGGGCAATGCCTTGAATTTCACAAACAGAAAAGGATTCAATCGAATAATTTAAGGTCTTTCCCTAAGCAAAACTGGATTGAGTTACATTACTTTCAGATGACATAGTCTTATTCAGTCTCACAAAGAAAAAATAATCCGTTTCCATTGCCTTATTTTAATTTATTGCCTCTTCTTCTTCAGTAATTTTCTTATTTCTGGAAAGGAGTGGTTATATTCAAAAACTCTTTCTTTTTTACATTGAAAAGTCTCAACACTGAACGTTGTTGTGAAAAAATACAAGTTCAACACATACGAGAGTTTTCTTCTTGGAAACGCTATCATAGAAAAGGCAGTTTTTTCCCCATACTACTTTAGTCACTCCTTACGTTTCAAAAATATTTGAAAGGTTTAGGAAACGCTTGAACTCTGTTGATTTCATTTTTTTTTGACTTTCTTATTTTCCAAACATAGATACGCTTCGCGCAAAAACATTTCGAAAAGGTTGTATATTGTGATTTACTTTTATCTTTTCTTTCTTTGATTACACGTGCGATTATTGGGTTGATTATGTTACCTTCTTGCTTTGTATAATGTCTGCCTTCTCTTATCACCATAAAGATACCAATTCCAAAACTCTGCTTGGTACCAAGAAGACCCGAAAAGGTCAATACGACGGCGCATTAAACCCCAAATTTCCCAGCAAGTCGGAATTGACAAACGACAGGAATGATGCGCAATACGTTGCCGCCTCGGGGGGCCCAAACGCCAACGACGGGGTTGAAAAGTCGCCGGAAGCGACCGATCAACTGCAGACGCCCACGGTTGGATTGTCGTCGGAGTTGGGGACTTCATCGACGAACTCAAAATTCGCCACGGAGCACGTTGAGTTTCACGAAAAAGTCGGTTCGCTGATGAATTCCTTCGGTTTAACGCAAAACTCAGTTTCCATAGAAGACGATGGCGTCAAGAATTTATCCGACAATCCGTTGGACTCGGTTCGGGTGGGCCGTCCCGAGGCCCTTTCCGCTGCCGATGTGGGCGAAAAGCCCATCGCGAACGATGCATTTGTGCCGGCTTTGGGCGCGAACGGAAGCCCCATTTCGATGCTTCCCTTTCCCGACCGGCCAACTTCTCAACAGCCCTCCCAATCGAACGCGGGTCCCCCCCCCCACATGCGCGACACGACTCCTTTCCTTCCCCGTGATTTAATTCTAGATTTCTCCCGAGGTGGTAGTTTTCGGTCCTCCGGCGAGACCAAAGGGGATGACCCCCAAAGGGAGCGCTATAGCCTTCGCGAGATATCCCCCCCCCGGTGTTCCTGGGAGTTTCCACGCCACCCCAACTATCCCCCCAGCGAGGACGGGCTTTTTCATGAGGAATGTCTCTCCTCCTCCTCTTTCCCGACGGAACGCCGGAGTCGGGGCGACGTCACGCAAGTCCGTCCCACCTCGCACCCGTCCTCCCACGCGAACAGCGTCGGGTCGGTGGAGTTCCCCAAGGCGCCCGATCGCTTTCTCTTCCCCTCCGCCGACGGCCTTGAGGGCCCCATGTCGGCCTCGATTTCGGCCGAACGGAAGGACCGAGCCATCGCGGAAGCCCCCAACGATCGCCCAAGGCGCGCGGGCCATCCCGGGATTCGGGGGCACTCCGCCGAGCTCGAAGGGCCCAAGGCCCCGGCCCCCTCCGCCGTCCGTTTATCCCC